ACCGAAAGTGCTTGAGGATTGAAAATACAATCATAGACTCCGGATATAGTCTCGTCACGAACGACGGCGTTAGCCTTCTTTTTCGAACCAGATTGCCTTCTTTTCCAAGATTCGGGAGCCTTTTCTGGGTGAAGTTGAAAACAATTAGATTTGGTGTGATGAGCATTGTCGTTATGTTGACCATTTTCGCAGTAAATTGTCGTAGTCTTCATGGCTGATTCCGACTTCACGACCGGATCGACGGCGACAGAATTTGCCGGAATTCCAGCAGTGCTGAGCTGCTTCGAGTTCAAATAAGATCTGACCATGTCAATGTCTAATGGTCTTTTGGTCGTGATGATTTCCTTTGAATTCTCAAACTTTTGAGGTAAAAGATTGACTATGTATTCAGCTAGAAGAGTTTCGTCAATTGTAGCCTTTTCCATCTTGACGATTTTGATTCCGACAGAACGAAGATTAGAGATGCCGACATCAACGTCCGTAATGAATTGCTCAAGAGATGAAGTGTATTTGATACTTAAGAAATCGCGATACACAACCGCATGATTTTGTGAAGTGTCAGATTGAAAATGATCGATGAGAGCGCTCCAAATAAGATGAGGTTGCTTTCGATTATCTTCAGTAATGAACTTAGCGTAATTTTCAACACCCAAGTTACGTCCAAGGATCCCGGCTGCAGCTGCCTTCTTATCTTGAAGTGAGATTTTAGCAACAGCGTCTTTCTCTTCTTTGACCAAATCGGAAAGAAGATGATCGTCGAGATTCCTTTCGAGACAATACGAAAACATTATGTTCTTCCAGTTCTGGAAGTTGACTTTCGTAAGGAGTGGAAGATGATGAATTGATTTTTCGGCCATCGTGTATAAGGCTGGAGTTCGATGAGGTTGCAGATTAAGTGCTATCTGGGCTCATAACCTATTGAACTTCGAGCTTTTATGATGAAGGTGATTTTAGCTATCTACACGATAGAGCTAAAGATGACCTGAAGAAGAACACAAACCTTTTATGATGAAGGTGATTTTAGCTATCTACACGATAGAGCTAAAGATGACCTGAAGAAGAACACAAACCTAAAGTAGTTTGAGGTTAGTGATGGAGCGACGAAGTTGGTTAGATGAAACAATTTGATTGATTGCTTTATCATATACACACCTTTTATGATGAAGGTGATTTTAGCTATCTACACGATAGAGCTAAAGATGACCTGAAGAAGAACACAAACCTGAAACGATCACAACGATAAGCTACAATGAATGAGAATGAGATTGATAAAAGAAACGAACCTAAAGTAGTTTGAGGTTAGTGATGGAGCGACGAAGTTGGTTAGATGAAACAATTTGATTGATTAAGAAAGAGACCGATACAAAGTAAAGAGATCGCTTTTATGAAGATCAACTAGGTTTCAGATGACTGCGGCGCGAAGTGTGAAATGAATAAAGTACAATGAAAATAGAGAAAGAACTGAAAAGAACTAGAAAGTTCAATATATGATAGCTTACTGGGGAAACGTCGATACCGCCAAGTTTAGTTTGCCTGATCCCGAGCCTTCTGATCAATCGCTGGAAGAGGAAAATCCCCGGAATCTTGAGCGCGGCCTCCCATTGGGTTCTCATAATGATCTACTAGTTGAGGAGGCGTTAGAATCTGATTTGAACATTGTAGATCTGGATGTTGGGCCGGAGCTTTTTGATAAATCTAGCGAACAGGACCGTAATGAATTGATTAAGACGAGAGAACCTGCTTGGCATCCCACAAAGGCCAGTTTGGATTTTACGGCTGCCTCTGTCATTGAATACCCATCGGCTTCTAGAATCAACAAATCCAATCCCTCCCAAAGGCAGTGTGAAAACCTCAAGTCATCCGCAGTGCTCTCTGTTTTGCTTCCTCCGGTCAAAGATTCTACACTTCCAGTTCCTGATTCAGATCAAGAAGACATGGACGACAATCCCGAGTTGTTTGAGCAATCAACTGAAGATCCAAGCCCTGCTGAAGTCACCGCTGCTAGACCAATCCTTGCACTTAATCCAGTCACTTCCCCGATCAACAATCATCTTTCTACAGAGATCTTGGAAAATCTTTCTTCCGCCTCTGCCTCAGCCGCCACAGTTCGTCGACCACTGATCTGTTATTATTGTCATTGTAAAGGCCATGGGACAGCCCACTGTCATGCACTCCGGAAGGACAAAGAGAAACGCCTTGTTGATCAGACGGGCAAAATTATTTT